ACAAATGACATACATGGTGTTTCATAACGAGCATTTCCAAAAAATCAATTTGAGAAGAGATGGGTATAACATATGTACTATATATGGGCCTATTTTATTCTAGACAAACACATTTGGATCAACTAAACATGCTACAATTCAAGAAAGTACAAATGGCATCACTTTGACCTTTATTTATTACAGTCCGAGAAGATCTTTCCTGACGAAAAACCCAGATTATGAAACACCTTGTACGTTTACTTATAAGTATACGTTATAAGTTGTACTTTCACGTATGTGCGAAATCTCTCTATTAATCTGTTAATACAGAAAATCCCCATACACTGCCCTATAACTCTGGTTCATAAGCTTTGATTATTTCAAAACGGTCGCCATTTTGATCTCGCGAAATTCACTTTTGGCTCATTTGGTAGCTTTATAAATAATTTCAGGTGTCCTGCATTGTAAAAAAGAGTATAGTTGTATGAAATAATTTCGCTACAAAAAAATCAGCAAAAATTATATCAGTTTTTGTTTAATTTCGGCCATTTTAGTTAAAATTGATTTGTCCATTTGTCTCTCAGTCAACAATAGAACCCCCTTTAAAACCTGTTTTAAATTATTTTGGTTCTTCCTTAATACAGAAGTCCCTCCTGTGAGTTCAGGTTCAAAAGCTTGCCATTTTTCAAAGTGGCTGCCATTTTAGTTTCGGAAATTCACTTTTTGTCAATTCAGTAGCTTTAAAACTGATTTCAGGTGTCCTGCAATAAAAACACATGTCACTGTAGAGAGTATGCAGGAATTATGTATGTAGTGATAAAGGAATTGGCAAATATTTGAAAATTACCTCCTGTTCAAGTTCCAATCATTTTTATAGATTATATTGATAGATTTAATATCACTGAATATGGTATTGCTTGTTGAGGATCACACAACATTACCGTTTATCATTTATTTGAGATTTAAGCAGGGGTCCATTTTTTAAAGAAATAATCGTTTTAAAAGATTTCTTGTGAATAGATAATAAATAAGTACAAAAAGCATGAATTATTATATATCAAGAGCATAATGTAAAATTTCAGCTGAAAAATTAGATCAAAATGGAATCCATGTTCACAGTGGGAGGTATAACTCATCAAACATTTGATAATTTTTTTAAAGCTTATTGTTACAGCCTAATGTTTTTAGTTAGCTTTTAGCTTTTTTTAGTTAGGATTATAGCATTGACCATTTATGAATTTTTGAGCACCATATAAAGTTACAGAACTTCATTTATGAACGATTTCAGCAGGGGTCTATTTTACAAATATTAAATATTTTTCCGGATAGTTCTTAGATGAAAAGCTAGTACATTGTTACGATTAAATTACATCATTGAGGTGTATAAATCATGAAAACAGGTTTCATCTTGATGTGTTCAACCTAACTCGTATAACGCCATGTCACAAATGGGGGGAGGAGACATTGACCTACACTTGGGGATCTTTATTACTTATATGATTTCAATATTACAGTAATGTCGGTATCATTATAAACAGGCATTAAATAAGTGTAGACTATTATAAATACGTTGACAGCAAGAATATTTATACAATTTAAACTGTAAAATGAGATAACAATGGGCTCTAAAATCACAATGATTGGTGTAACTAATCAAACTTTTACTTTATAAGCTTAGTATCATGTCCTAACAATTTAATTTTAAATAGTTATCCCATTGAACGAACTTCGGAGGGATATAGGGAACGGGCCTCTGTCCATCCATCTGTCCGTCCGTCTGTTCGTCTGTACGTCCGTTCAGGCAATAACTCAAATACCGTTTGCCGGATTTTGTTCATATTTTGTACACATATACCCTATGGAGGTAGAAGTTCTGCTCGAAAGCTGATTTTCAAAATGGCCGCTCATTTAAAAATAGCGACCATTTTAGTGCCGATCTTACAGTAATTTAGGTGCAATATGTAAAACTGTAATAGCAATATCTTTTAAATGAAAAAAAAATTATATAGGACATTAATAAAGCTAGAAATGTAGATATTAAAGAAGCACATGGCAGCTATCTTGAAAAATGGTGGCATTTACTTGTTATTTTACGATTTTTGCTGTAACTCGAAAAGTAGTGTAGTGATTTTGTTCATATTTGGTATGTATTACTATGAGCATGGTACACTGTCTAATGACACTTTTGGTAGAAGGCGGCCATTTTAAACATAGCCGCCATTTTAACGTATTTTACTATAACTCGAAAAGTTGTGGAGCGATTTTGATCATCTCTGGTATGTGAATACTATAAACAAGGCACACTGAATTTTTTGAATATCTTAAAGTGGTTCAGATTTTCATTTATTGAAGATTTAATTCAAGATTAATTCAAAAAGATGAATATTTTTGTGGATAGTTCTCGGATCAATTACTATTATAACCACCTTGCAGGGCATGTTTTAGGGGTATTAGTGCTAGTTTATGTGGCATTTATGTTACTATATCGACCTGAGCAATAATTCTAATAACGTCATTTCTGCGGGCAATATAAACAAATACTAGATGATCAGGAACTGGATATGGCAGAATACCTATTCGAGAAAAAAATATTGGGCGAGACGGTATTAATTAATTTCAATAGAAAGTTTGGGTTCTAGCATTGCCTCATGGGACAGTCTATTTTCTACTGAATAAAATAATCAGGGTAAACGCTTTTCTATTACTAAAGTTATTTGCTTGTAGAGCCCGTATCGCAAAAATCATATATCCTTTCACCCCACATCATATCATATGCTTTATTGATGTTAAAATTCATTTTTATAAATAGTGGGAATAAATTCCCAACTCATCTTAGATTGTGATTTAAATGCAATATTATATGCGATCAAATGCTTTTTCCAAGGTTTAAAAATGTAAACAGTGCTCAGTTTCAGTGCTCAACAGGTGAAAACGTATGTAGGAATATAGGCAGAAACAATTTGCAGATCAACGAAAACAAGATTGTGTTCAAAGAAAGTGATCTAAATGGAACCATTATTTTTAATCATGTTGAATGCAAAATATAGTCAGACAGAAGATATTATTTTCAATTAAACAGATAAAATCAATATATCATGCTAATGACATTTCCAAAAGCCGATTCATAAGTGGAAAATATCTAATATTTTTCATTATCATGGACCTCTGTTAAACCCCTCAATGATAAGTAAACGGTAATGTTGACAGGTCCTCAACGGGTGAAAACGTATGTAGGAATATATGTTTTATCATTTAAACATATCATTAACAATTGGCAGATCAACGAAAAACAAGATGATGTTAAAAGAAAGTGAACTAAATGGAACCATTATTTTTTATCATTTTGAATGCAAAATATAGTCAAACAGACGATCTTAGTTTCAATTAAACAGATAAAATCAATATGGCATACTAATATTAATAACCTTTCCAAAAAACTTTATATTTTTTATATTTTTTTGTGAACCCATGTTAAACCCCTCAGTAATTAATGAATAAGTTTATTGGTCTCTTGAACATCTAATGTACATCGAGATAAAATCAATATATTATGCTAGTAAACTTTCCAAAAGCCTATTAATGACTAGCTAGATAATCTGTTGCAAACTATCAAAATCTAACATTTTTGTTGACCCCTCCCTGTTAAACCCCTCAATAATAAGTAAACGGTAAAGTCCTCAACAGGTGAAAATGTATGTGATAATATATGTTTTATCATTTACACATATCATTTAACAATTGGCGGATCAACAAAAAACAAGATGATGTTAAAAGAAAGTGAACAAAATGGAACAATTATTTCTAATCATTTTGAATGCAAAATATAATCAGACAGACGATCTTATTTTCAATTAAACAGATAAAATCAATAGGTCATGCTAATAACCTTCTCAAAAACCGATTCATGAGTAGATAATCCTTTGTAAACTTCAAAAATATCAAAATCTAATATTTTTATTTTTTGTCGACCTCTGTCAAACCCCTCAATAATAAGTGAATGGTAATGTTGACAAGTGCTCAACATGTGAAAACGTATGCAGGAATATATGTTTTATCATTTAAACTCATCAAAACGATTGGAGGATGAACAGGAGGAAACAGCTTAATTAAGGCTTATCTGAGAAATTCCATTATCACTAATGAGAGAATTGGCAAAACTTTATATCTGCTTTTCTATTGTCTGCCATTTTAAGCATCATTCACTTTTCTCTTTGCTGACCAACACCATGTGAGCCCAGCACCGTGGGTACTGGGTTCACACTATTGATGTACGCTTTTATATAAGTCAGCAAGTAGCTTAGTACAAGAGTGCCAAAATGTAATGTTTTTTTCTGACATATATTTATTTGTTAGGGTTACATAAAGATGGCACCCTGATCAGATGTTAGAAAAGCAAATAATGGTCCGTAATATGGGCATTATGAAAGATTATACAAACGGCTGTCTGACTTCGATATCAGTTGTTTCAAGCAATTTTAATATAACTGTCATTGCCAAGTACCTACATCTAAGCTGCGACAAAAACAGGGTTGCAAAGATCTATTAACATACAAAGTACGCATGTACCTTTTTCAAATTGCATTTATAGGGTAGCAAACATTTTAAGTAAAACAGCTGAACATTGCAGAAAGATATAACAGGACAAATTGAAAAAGGGGCATGTCAAATTGCCACATGTCCTCCTTGGTCTTCTACGGTAATCAAGGTATATCAGATACGTTGTAAACACATTACACCTTCCCACTGGTCGTTTGTAAAACAATAACTTGAGCGTCAAAATCTCATAACATCATTTATCTATTCATAGATCTGGGGATGTCTGAGTGGAACGACCATCTCAAGTTCTTCTGAAGGACTTCTGCAGAGTTGTCAAGTGTTTCGTTGTCTGCCCGCATTTACCGTAGTAAATATAATCAAGTTAAAAGTCAGGCTTTATGTCTACAATGTTCTATGAAAAAGTTTAAACCGATAAAGAGTGGAACATCTCGGTGAATAGAGTTGTGGGTTGTATCGGGTGAAACTGGATATGTAGTGTGCATCAGCGTCTGTCTACCATCACTAGTCTTCTTCAATGACAGAGCCATTATTCAAGCCAGCTATCGGGCCGACAAACTGGCGCCTCTATACACATACACACTAAGCACACGAACCGCCCTAGCCCCGCCCTTCTTATTCTACAGGCTGTCTAACGAGATGTAAGAGATATACAGCTGAGCTCTCAGTGGTTAATAAAGCGCGGCACAGCGCACGGACTTCAGTCTGGATCTTATCTCGCAGTGAAATGGCAGTGTGTTAACCACGGATAATGTCATTACATAGAGTTCGTAGGCGACAGTCAGACTACACATCTATCAGACTTTATCACATTCACACAGTCATTTCAGACCATATAGTCACAGGCAAGTGATGGAGTTAGTTCAGATAATAGTAAGATAATGTACACGACATAGGATACACAGACAGTTGTTCTCATGCAACAACTATTCAAACTTCACTTCAACCAGAAATAGTTACATACACTGGATACTACAAATAATGGATCTACAACTGCCACCGTTTATAATGGCAGTGTTCCTCTGGGCTTCATACGTGAGAGGTATGTAGATTGTAGAGTTTGTTGTATAACCATGTTATGTACATCAGTACTCTAGGAGTCAGTAAATAAGTCTTACTCTTCAAAAGAATATTTTATCGATTGTGTCAGTTGTAGGGTTCTATCCTGCTCTCGAGTCATTATTTCATATTGATTTGTAGGGGGCATATGTCAGATAACATGTAAACTACAAGCTAGAGTTACTTATTACTTTCACAGAGTCAAAATTTGACTATACAAAGCAAATCAAAACATACAAAATGGTTCCTTTCTAAATGGTTTAATATGACCAACGTTATGGAGATACCTTGTTGGTTTAAGAGTTCATTAAAGAAGTGCATATACTAGAAAAGCATAACCTAGTTCATATTCTTCTATAGCGGTTATTGTATTTGATTGAAAAGAACCAGTGAAGCAAAGATATGAAGAGTCCTCGTTATAAAGGAGTACCCTCGCGCCTCAAGAGCTGCATTGAAAGGTACAATACAACTGTCTGTATCCAACATGTAAAACACCCAACGATACAATTTACTAGACTAGCCAAAATGAGCAAACCAAGATACCATCAGTAATACAATACCTTTCTATTTGAACTCATAGCTCAAATGAAGAATGCTTTCTAAGAAACGTCAATGTTATACACAACAACGTTACATTGCGCCACTAAAGGTGAAACCATATGCTCATATTATAGTCGCCATTTTAAGGATTATAATAGTATTTATATGATCCGCCTTATTGATTGAGTTCCAAAAATTGGTTTGTTGGACACTTATGTCACTGGAGCATTATGGAGTGTACTTCAGTCGGGGTTAAGTGTATTGTAAAGGACTCTTATGCTCCATAATACGATAAGCACAACCATTGTAAAACACCACCGAGACTTTAATCACTATGAACAGTAAACCCAAACCCCGACTGGTGAGACACAGCAAATCCTTCCTTACCGGCGCCTGGTAAATATCCGGTAGACCAAAGTTAAGAAGGAATCTGAACAACATATATGATCCAATTCAATCTCAATTTAGGAAAAATAAAAGTCACCATGGTCCAAAAGCTAACGTAACTTTCTAATTTTATAGTTACCCTAAAGCCACTTGTTCACATATAATGAGGATTGTGGCAGGGAGAGTAAATATATGTTCTCCTGAAAATTACCTCGGTTTAAAGCTATAAACTGTGTGCTAAAGTCGTCTAAAATCTTTGAATATAGTTACAAATACTTTCGGCAAACGAACCAGGGTAACTGAAAGGTTATATGTATTTACTCCCTATGTCAAGGGCATGTTAGAAGATTCTTTTACATTATAGTGTAAGAATCATTTCATAAAAGAATGTCAGGTTTTAACATGTCAAACGTTTATGCTTTAACTTTTTGCACTTGATATTCACATCGTAGAAACAAGCCTCATATACAATTTCTATTCATGTACATTCCATGCCAAGTGGCCATATACTTACAAAATAGAATGAACATATGTTGCAGGATGATTACAAAACCTTCATCCAGCCAATACATGAACAGTAACGATTTTGGTAGAATGCATGATATCAAGCCAAACGGTCAATTATTTATGGATTGCGTGCACAGAGTAGACTTCATGCTCTGAGTAAAATAAATAATGATGGAAATAAATTAAATTATCAACCAGCAAGTTGTTCCCAAGAAAATGAAAGCACCCATTACAGACCATGTAATCCGACGAGAAAATTTTCTTCGTTTACAGTTGGAACCAGTTGAGAAAAGCCGATCTGGTTTCTAATGTATTCTAGATTAGTGAATGTGGCAAAAAGAACATTTGGATAGAAACATTTTTAAATTCCACAAATACAAACAGGGGTGTAATGGCCATATTGAGACTGGTGCCATTGGATGACAAAATCATCTCCAATTTTCTAGATTGTGTTTCAAATAGAATCCACTGAAAATAGGAGATTGGGTATAGTCCAGTTATCATTTCACTTTCTATCATTTGATTTATACTGCACCTTTTTTCTCGACTTGAAAACGTTTTGACGCCATTACCCACTTCAACTAGATACTTGAGAGTGACTGTAAAAGGCTCCCGATGCATTGACTTCTGAACAAGATCTCGATTTGAGTATAGTAAACCTTTTAACAGTATTTTGTTATAGACTATTTCAACATAGTATGTTTGTTTAATGTTTTGTGACAAGAAGGAGTGTGTCACTCCATTCTATTGTATTTAAGTACATATATTGTTAAAGAGTCTGTGTATTACAACCTTATTTGAGCCTGTTGCCAAACATACTCATAAATCAACTTTGACTATTTGCGATCTATTTACATATTAAAATAGCATAGCAGTACAAGAGAATTTGATTTTTAGTTCATCTGTTCTGCAACTTCTTAAATGTATTCGTTTGCACACTGGTATGTTTAACAGGATTATAATAACTTTTCAAGATCTCATAAACTGATAAACGGCCCTCAGAAATCGTCTTAGTCCAATATTAGTGTTATAAAGCGTTTGCTCCAAATTGCCCATTTTGATAAGGAGACGATATCATGTGGATGTCTGGCCAAAATAAGCTGACGCTGCAGTCAAAGTGAAGACGGCCAATAATGAACGTGAATGTGATAACAGCAGGCCTCTAGAGCCCAAATTAAAACGTCGCCATCTGATAGTTACATAAACATTATAATATAGCCTGAATTAATGTAGAATGTTAATTTGTAAACAATTCTATGAAAATGCCATCCATTAGAAACCGTTCTCGAACCTGTATTGTAAAGGGAATGTGGATACGCGTGTAAAACATAGCTAAGTATTTCATTTATCTTGTTTGGAATGGCTATCCTAAGCAATAATAACATTATGAGCTCAATGGTTGTCAAAATTCATTCCCATCAAAATCGGTTATATTATCATTGGATTAATATTGTGTTCATTTGCGTGTATAATACCATCCAGATTATATAACACACAGGCATATGTTGAACTGTAAACGCCTATTGAACCTGATCACAATTAACTTGACAACAACTGCTATAATTACCCATCGAGTTAATCAGTAAATTATGATGCGACATGCAATGTCTGGACAGTTCATTGTTTTTATTGTTATGTTGCCAATAAAGAAATTAGGTCATTATACTTCAAAGCGATCTAGAAAGTGTTTGTAGACAAGATGTCTAGCACGTTCTTCTGCTATCTTGTTTCCGGTGGTGAATGCTAATGCAATGAAAGGTGTTAAGATAAGCAACCTTCTTCCCGATACAACAGTTCCAAATCCAATGGATATTTAAACAAATCTATGTGAAATGCCCTTATTTCTTAAATAATTTTGAAGAATAGTGTACATTCTACATATATCATACATGTTAAATTCTATATGTGGTTTCCAAATGTAGATGAAGTTACTGAGGCAGTTTTCCTTCCATCCGTCAAGATCCATAAATCATGTTGGAAAGCTATACCTCATAATCGTTCACCTAAACCAACATAGACTCATAAAATCAGTTAATTACATTTCTTCTCAAAACAGATCCCCTACTTCAAAAACTGTTTATTCAAACCAAATGCTTATGCTTTCAAGTTCCATTAGTTCTGTTGGAGCCAGATTCACTGGTTATCGCTTTTTCCATTTATCGGGTTTCAAGCCTGGTGTTCTTTGACTTGAGAAAATGTATGTCGTTCAAGTGTTTCTATTTTATCTGACTCTGGTGTGCAGGATTTGAGTATTTTCTGTAGGATCGACTGTCAAAACACTTCCATATCTTCCCTTCCTGAACATACCATCGTTCTCATGCCACACAAAAAGATAAACACTTACACATTGTACAATTATTAGTGTATGTTATCTGTATTGAGAATCCTTATTATATCTCAAATTGTAACTATATCAGGTGGGAAGGGTTGCGACTTTCTTGGTAAAGGAAGTTTTAGAGTACAACTTGTTGCGGGATTCCCTTCTTGCTTTGCGAAACCATTGGTAATCCAGTGGTAATCATGAAGGGTTGCCCCAAATAAATCTAGCATCTACACATCAACAGTTCAACTGGTTACCAGTCTACTATACAGGCTAGTGTACCTTATGCTATGTTTAGCTCGTTTGCTGTCAAGAAGACTACCATCGTTATGGTTCAGTTATGTTAACTTTTGACTTCCTGTGGATGAAGTAATAGTATGATGAATGGAGTTGGTCTTTCAAGCTGACGTCGGATAAGTAATTGTGATTTTCGAGTTTTTTCATTTTATTGGCATCAGTTATATTCAGTTGAGTTTTTTCGTTATATGTACGTATTTTGCGGCCTGATAAGCAGGGGGTAGAAACGCGTCCAGTATTTTCGTCTGGTACAACTGGAAATACTGGACGCAGACCTCCATTTTCGATCCAGAGAGAGGTAGGTGTGATTTTACTCGGTAGCTAGCCTTGCCCAAGTCGGTCTCTTTTACTTATCTTGATTTCTATTATGATATAATAATTCAAGATCAGATAAGTAAAAAATACCGACTTGGGCAAGGCTACTCGGTAGCCTGTGATCGTTTTACAGTGTTTGCTTATCTAGAAACAGGCTCATCAGATTCCTAGAACATTGAGGAACACACAAATCTTATAAAATATCTTATAATTTCGACATTGAGACAGGGAAGATGGAAACAGCCCACCCACGTGTTTTTCTGAAATGTTTTCCTAATTTTCAACCCCTTCCACCCCTGCTTTTCCAATTTTTGTTGCATCAATATGTTGCGTTTTGACACAAAGTTAACCCCTTTAAAGGAATAAGTAATTCCTTCATGGGTTTTAAAGACCAAAATTAGCTGAAAGCAATGGATCGCATGAGTTTTCCCTATGGGAAATATTGTTTTCCACTTTATCTTAAATGAATTACTTATTCCTTTACAACTGTGTGTCAAAACGCAACATATTGATGCAAGAAAAATTAAAAAAGCAGGGTGGAACCTCAGAACCTTAAAATCAGGAAAACATTTCAGAAAAAACATGTGGGTGGGCTGTTTGCATCTTTCCTGTCTCAATGTCGAAATTATTTTATCATCTCTATGAGTGCTTTTCCTGGAGGTAATGATCTAACATATGCACCTGTTTAAATCCTCAATAGAAAAGCCAAAATCCAGCAAATGACTGTCCGAAATCTGTTGCGCTACTTTCCCTCCTCCTTTAAAGAAATACCGAACGGAATGAAAATGTACTGGATGCAAGCCATCCGGTATTAACAGGCTTGCGACCAGTACATTTTTTATTTCGTCCAGTATTTCTAAACTTTCGTCATTTTTCTTTTATCGATCACTTTTAAGCTAAAATTTGCAGATTGGGGGCTGTATTGTTGGTCAATACACAAGAAATTTGCATATCTTGTCAATGAAATGGTTAAATAAAAAGAAATATACCTCGATTCGTGTATTTCCTGAAAAAAATCAAAATATTTCTGTGCTTGACCCCACATTACAGAAAAACTATTAGTCATTTTATAAGAATTGGAGGTTCCCCAATGTTCTGGGAATCTGATGAGCTTGTTTTTAGGTAAGGACACACTGTAAAACGATCACAGATTACCGAGTAAAATAACACCTACCTCTCTCTGGATCAAAAATGGAGGTCTGCGTCCAGTATTTCCAGTTGTACCAGACGAAATACTGGACTCGTTTCTATCCCCTGATAATAGAACACTGAAATCACGTGTCAGTTCATCTTGACAACAAAGTGTCCAGATTTTAAAAAATTCCATTAAAACGGTGTTTCTACATGATCTCTCAATATTGCAATTGCCTTGTAACTCATTCAAAGCAGCTGTTATGAAACCAGCCCATTTGCCTCAATGACAACAAAACATTTGCCATCCCTTAATTATCACCTATTTTTGAATGGAGTTGCAGAAATGTTCGTTATTTAACAATATGAATCTCTTGTCGATCGAATCTTTAATATGTTACAAGGGTAATCCATTGACCGTCAATATTTGCTCGTCGGATTAACATAATTGACCTCACAAACTCGGTCCTTAGTGATTGTAATCAATCGTTCCCAGGCCCTTGTCGTTGAAATGGCTATTCAGACTAATCCCAAACGTAAGATAAATGTGCATGGTATCAAAATTATTACCAAAGAAAAATTAAAATGCCCAATTTAGAATAACATTTGAATACACAACACGAAAGAATGAAAATATTAGACGATTTCTAAGTCGTTAGATATATTTATATCTAAAGCCCAACTTTAAAATTCCGATTAAATATATCTACACTAACTAAACCTGTCATTTCGAGATTTATTTAAAGTGTTTTCTTATCTATTGAACACATTTATAACAAATTATAATACGTAGTTATCAAAAATGAGTACAGTGATACCATTTCCTGTCCTCGATTGTTTTGTACGTTTTGATATTAACTAGAACCTATTCCACTCAGTGTTCTTAAATATTATTATTTTAAAGCAAAATTATGGAGTCTAACGTTTGAACTTTGAATAGTTAAATACCTCCCACTGCGCGATTGTTTTTATAAAACAATACGTATCTACTGTCACATTTGTTGGCGCAATCAATACGATAGTTAGTCTAAGAGCCTCGATTTTATTCTCAAGTTTCGTTTGCTTTTTTGTTTTGTTAAATACTCATTGGTTGAACATCATGGGCAGTCTCTAGACGGTTCTTGTAGTAGTTTGAACATACACTATCTCTAATAAAATGATCGATGGCATTTACGGGCGCCAATATCAATTAATTAAGAAACTGGATCATAAATCTATTTATTTTTAATTGTTTTCTAATGTATCCAGTGATAATTGTTGGACAGTTTAGAGCATTACTCAATTTTGCCGATTGTCAAATTATTGTTTTTTATATACTCGATGGCCTGGGTTTTGCAATACGGCTTTCGTACCTAAAAATAATTCCCTCGTATTTAATTTATGTCTCCTGTATTTGCATCTCATTGACATGCTGATGTTGTTAGTTTTTAGACTGCATGCCCTATTCAAACCCACTGAAGAATGGTGGAGCCCATGGCGAAAACGTATCATATTTTACCATACTGTATTTTGAAAAGCAAGGTGACCCAAATGCATATTGGTCGGTGTTAACCCGTTAACTGTAAACAGAAGAGTTTTAAAACAAAAATTAAAACCTATAATGAAAGAACTACTTTCTAATTTAACCTGACCGTGGTCCATATATTAAATGATTTTAAATTGAATTAAATCCTATTAAATTCCTCAAATGCAAATACCATTATGATGAGTATAGGGACCATTGTAACGTGATGTGACCAGTCCACCAGCCTCAAATTATATTGAAATATTGTGATTGTATTTTATTGATATCTATGTAATTTTCATGTGGTTTCAGGCGAGATTCGGTGCTACTGCAACGATGCATCATGTGTCAGAGACCACTACATGTGCAAGTCACAAGCTGGCAAATGTTTCTCTAAATTGGCTTATGACTCTGAAGCTACCCAATCCGTACATGGATGTGTAGAATTCTTACCAGAACAAGATCGAAATCTCTGTCAAGGAGAAGAAGGGGATATTATACGAACACTAGGAGGCGCAATGGAGTGGCCCATATTGATGTGTTGTAAAGACGATATGTGTAACTACATAGACAATTTCGATATCAACATTGATATTAACGTACAAAGTCCAAACGACACATTAATAGGTAAATACGATTAAAAATACCATTATCACTTCTCAAGGCGTACTCTTTATCATATTAAGAACTCCGACCTATAATTGAAATATAGATAGTTTAGCAAGAAGATATGATATAAAATATTTATAATGACTACTGCATATTGATTCTATTACCAAGACTTCAATTTCCATCACGGTTAACATCCCAATCTACTTTCTTATCTCCAGCTCTCTTTCATCTTGTGTTTCTAGTTGAAGCTCATAAAGATTGTCGAAATGGCTTGTGTTAGCATAATATTTATAGTTTCTCTGCACACCGTATGTGTATGAAGTAGAAATGTTTTGGCTAAGTTCAAAACTAATGGACCCATTATGTCAGGATGCAACAACTGTTGGATTTATGATCACTTGAGTTTCTCTTGTAAAACAGCCTTTTGCTAAAAAGTAGATAAGATTATTCTGGTTGCTTGTAGCAACTGATGTGTTGCCATGGTTATCTTGATACGGACCAATATCTGGTAATTTTCTTCTCTAAGAGGGAATGTGTATACGGAATGTATATGCGCCGTTTTGTTTTGTTAAACTACTGGCTTCATGTGGCTTGTTGCTGGCAAGTTTTGTTACTTGGACTAAAACCACATTCTACTCCAGCCCATTTCATTGTTTTATTTCGTCAGTAAAACCTAAAAAATAAGAAATCAAAAGATCATTGTGCAATAATATATGGAAAAATATATTCCTCTTGTACATAAATGACATTTGTATATCTTGGATTGCTTCTAGTTTGGCTAATAAAGTATGTGGCTTCTTATATTTTGATGCTTCTCTGTCATATTATTTTCAAAAAGATGAACATGGCTGAAATTCTTAAATTTACAAGAGGGCATAGGCTTATTGCACAAAGAAACTAAATAATCTGAAATATACAAACGTCATTCATGTACAATATGAATATACTTTTCCATATACTATTGCACAATGGTCTCCTGATTTCTTATTTTTGGGGTTCTACTGACGAAATAAAACAGTGAAATGGGCTGTCGTGAATATCAATTTTTATGCCTGATCAAATATGATTAATTTTTGTCGGTCTTTACTTGTATTAATTTTGCACCAAGTGTCATATTCCTTCGTGGCCTTGATTGGTAAGCGTTCAGACTTGGAATTTACAGGCTAGGGCTTACCCAAAATGTATTAAACCCTGTACTTTTATGATAAGAATCCTGACCGGGACATGTCCCCTTAATGCGTATGACCATGTTGCTAAATCTAGATTATGTTCTTTATGTAATGATGCAAATGAAAATGTAGTTCACTTTCTTTTCTCTTGTGAAAGCCTAGCACAGAAAAGGGCCCCTTTTTAGAGTATATTAGAGTTATGAATTATCACGGTCAAGGTTTTAATGTAATCATTGTAAATATCCTGAAACAAGGAGATATTACTGCTGCTCAGCATGTATACAACTTGTACAATAAAAGATGTAGCTTGCTGTAGATAGTGGTACTTCACTTTCTATATCTCTATTTTTATATCTTATATCCTAAATAACTTTATGTAATATTGTACTCATCATTTATGGTGGAATAAAAGATACATAAACATAAACATAAACTTTGAAACCCCACTAATGAATTCACCGGTTTGTCACGGGTGGACATATGCAGGCTCTGTCAGTATTCCTTCCAGCATCACTCTGCAACATTCAAAAGCTTCTCATGTTACAGTTGCAAGCAGGCCTCAAACAAATGTTTACGTTTGGAAGCTGTTGGCTTGTCTAAGAAGCAGCTAAAATGATTAACCATTTGCCTCGATCTTTGAGAGATCTCATGGATGTGCTGTTGGCAAGAGGATGTCACCATTTCCTTGTTTTTAACTTGCATTTGCAAATAACGGTTTTTGTACAATCTAATGAGTTTTAGAGCATGTATGATTTGTTAATGTGAAAACCATATTATTATCCGACAGTATGAACATTGATACCCAATGCTATTAAATATTAAACTGGAGATCTGAGTAATTTGATACTGGCGCCCGTCTAAGGTGAATTAGGGCATAAAGTATTGACCGAGTCGAAACTTTCAATAACTTCATAATTACCCATTATTATTTTACTTTGGCTTTTAGATGGGGTAACAAAAGGGAGTGAAAGGCACAATTATTTGTGTGTTCTGAAGTTCATAGTCCTTTTCAATTTTATGTTGAAGTGATAGACTTCAACACTACATATTAATGTTGTTCCAGTGTTTCATTTATTAACACTATTGTGAATGATATTTTGAAGTGCCCCTCAAAACGAAATGACCGTTACGTCTTCCAAAGGGTCTTCATTCAACATTAGTAAAATTGAGTCATTGTTCTAAAACACTTGATCTTATATAAAATTCGAATTAGGATCACATGTGTTGAGTTGAAACAACATTTCATTGGCACTGGAAACATAGTTTGTTGAGGGGTTAACTGACATGTCCACGCCATGCCTTTATTTATCAGCTCATGCGAATGTAGGCATATATAAGGTTAGCTAGAGCTGGACACTGTTGCTTGTTCATTATTCAGTTGGACCTGCCATATCAGGGAAACAAGGATTGTGGTTTTAAATTGAATTAGACTCATGGTTTCGACTGGCGTCATATCAATTAGTGATAAAAGACTAAAACTTCTAGGTTTACAGCATTCTGTCTGTCTTTCTTAAACGTCATGTTCAATCTAATTAGAATTGTTTCGGTGTAAGTTTCTACTTTCTCGAAATAAGTCTTACATTATGAAAATATAACTGTCGCCATAATAATCCTTGATCACAATAGCTGTAACGTTTCTTGATCTCTCTTTGGATTATACCTTTACTTAACCTATTGCAGCATTCTTATCCTTAATCAATAAATATATAGCCTGATTTTAATATCTTTTTTGTTTTGTCTATTTTCAGATGCAAAAAATAAAAGAAGAAAAATCAACAGCACATCACGTTATGACCCTAGATTAGTCGAACACTTGCCATCAGATGGTGACGTATGGTTCAAAGCCGCTGTCATCGCTGTGCCCATTTCTGGTGGCTTCATCCTAGTACTTTTGGTACTCCTCGCAATACGCATGCTCAAAAGTGATAGCAGACGACAGAGACATATGCAAATGAGGCGGCTTAATGGGTTTACTAAAGCTCAGCTGTATGTCGCTGATCATTTTTCAGAAAAATCATACAAAGTGCATCAAAAACATAAAGACAATAAATCAAGTATTTACAAAGATCTTAGTATAAAAATTGAAAGTGACTTTGAAAAGCTATATGATAAATCTTTACATGACCATTCATCAGGAGGTTCATCGGGATCTTGTAATTCTATAATTGTTTGGGGGAAACAACAGAAAAATATTGGAGATATCTCAACAGTATAGCATTGTTTGTATTGTAAATAGTTGTACATAGTGTAAATTAATTTTATAACATCATTTAAAATGATGAAAAGGTTTTATATTATATTGAGAGAAAACAGGGAGTGGCGGACTATTTTATATACACAAACTACATTAATTAAATGATAGTATTATTTATTGAATAATAAACTTTAAAAGTATTCAAATATAACAATTGTTTTGTATTATACTGGTAAACTGCATCGTGTGTCCAGAAATCTTCATGGAAATATTTTGCTGCATTCAGTTGTCAATTCACTGGCATAAAACATGACTCATTCGCTGCACCAAGAGAAAATGTTATCATGTTTATATTATTGATTTGTGTAATGGGATTGTCAGACAGGAATCGCCACAGATATTACTGAAACATTGACATCAATCATCCTTGGTATATAGCCTTAACCTTCTGATGGTCACTTGGCCTTGTTTCCAGATCGAGTGAAATAAATACATTTGCCTTATGATATTTATGATAAGACAAAATAAATACCCATACCGTTTATCCCACGATTGTTGTGCTATCTGTAAAATAACTCGTAGTGATATTTCTGTTATTATGGAGATCCGTGTGGTATTATTCAGAAAATCGTTTATCAGCCTCATCACGGTGCTCATATCCGTATGAAAAACGAATTTGAATTTTGGATTGTAATCATGGGATAAACCATGGGCTTTCAATAAAATGCCCTTGGATATACCCAATATCAGTTCATTTCAAGTGATCATTTTATTGCCTTCGGTCAATCGTCTAATTTGGTAACTCGTCTCAAAATCACTCAAAATGATCTGATATTCTGTAAAAACTAAATGTATTCCTTAGATGGATCAAAATGACAAAACAAGCATATCCTATCGTAGTGTGTACACACGACAAGTTAGCCTCTGACAACAGTTTGACAACGAATAAAACAAGTTGGATCATTCATTAACGTTATGAGTTGTTAAGTGGGATTACTGTATTTTCCAGAAAATATGATGAACAGTAATGTGTAGACGAAATATTTGTTTTAATGACCAGAGTGGCGCTTATGACATCATTAGACGTAGAGCATGTAGAATAGTCTGGGGGTTTCAATTATGAACATGAATACAATGTTTGAGTATTAAATCGCAACCTTTCCATGGACTCAATAGGTCAACTTCTTGATATGTGTTTTTCAATATTGAAGACAACAAGTTTGCCATGAGGCTATTCGCGGGATTAATCTAATTAACAACGATCAGCTGGTACTCCACCACCTCCTATGATGCTAGGCAGGTTCAGTAATATTGTAAACTGCCCAAATACATCCTCCGGGATACCTGCTTAGGAGAATGCCCAAATACTACATACAAAAACTCCTTAACCTGGGAGGCTCCATGAGAGCGATAAACTGGGTAACCACTAAATATACCACATGCATATGAACAGATACATGTCGCCGGTGTTTTTGCTTATCTATGAAATCTCTTCACAAATATTTTGGGACTTTTGTCGCTAAAGAAATGTAAACTATTATTTTATGGTCTGGCGACCTGGGCAAATATTTGTCTCGCAAACATGCGCTTTTGTCATCTTTCATCTGAGTTTAAAAATCAAGATGTCACTTGATTTTATATGATGAAACCCAGTGAAAACTACATATTCAAATTGTTCAAACAATACAAATAAAACTCTAAAAAGTCTTATCGTGCACATTTTGTCGTGCATATTTGACAGTCGGCAGTTATCGTAAACATGAAAGACATAATTGAAAAGTGAACGAGATTTTATGCAATGCGCATTTGAAACCGACATTTGAGCTGCTAATCATGCCTAAATGAGTAAAACAAAGACTCCGATGAGATACGGAATTAATTAAGTTGCTCGTCGAGCTAGGTAACATATGGGTCTGCATATTTTTAATGATACGGGCCTTGGAGCGAATTCATGTCAATTTTTGTATACTGTTTCATTAAAATTGCACGATAATGATCAGCTATCCTACTGCCACTGGCAACAGATAGTTACCATAGTAACGTAAATGATAATTTAGCCAAAAGATGCGTGAGCACAGTTTCCCAAAGATACTTAATGATAAGGATAGTAGAGGTACAATAAATACACACGAAGATTGGAAGAAATACCATGTACTAATGTTACTTTTCACAAATTCCCTGTTCTGTTTTCGGCAAATTATAGTGTGTCTTTCAACAGGAAAAGTTAGTTCTCCATTCGATATGATTTTATATAACAGTATAGTGTTAAACATACCTCGGGCTATGTACCTTTCCTGATGGCAAATGCCAACATTCTAACGCCCAACATTCAGCTGCCAATCATTATTTGATTGACAGATAAGTGACTATTTGAAAATGATTGGTCAAAGGACAACTAGCGACATCTTTACAATTTCATGAAAATGTAAACCACTCTTTTTTGATAATAGAGAGATTTCGCACATACGCACGGGCTACTAGAGTTTCCACGTATATGGAGTATGACCGGTTCTCAGGCTACGAATATGACCTGTTTTGGAAAGTCATGAGAGGCACAGCTGCTTAAAAATGGAAAATAAAGGTTAACTTCTATATTATCCTTTTTGAAATTGTGTTTGTTGAATATAGTTTATGCTGTATTTAATAGTAATGTAACAAAAAAATGTTAAACATGAGCTATTTTAGCAATGTAACTGTTCATAATGGAATATCAATCAGAAAGTACAGATTTCTCGCCTTAGAGCCAAATCATTAATATCACAGTAGAAAAAAACAAATCCCGAACCTTTTTATGGCTAACCTGAACAAGATCTCCAAATCTCAGTTTATATGATCCCCCGTAGAGTGAGCAAGAGAAGGATTTATCTTTTCCCAGAGGATACGCTTGTGAAATGTCATGGAAACGAGTGTAACACGGCCCACTGATTGATGTGATCGGAATGTTACCGGTGTAGAATACGAGTGTATGCGGTGCATGATAGGAATTTATCCGAATGTGAGCGGTGTAGAATACGAGTGTATGCGGTGCATGGTTTTGGCATTAAGTGAAGTTTAAACCATATGTTCATTTTTGTTCCAGATCCGAGGAAGAAATTTGGAATATGCACTTTTAAATCACATTACCTAAATGACTTCCTGAGTTAAATGTGTAGTTTCAGCAATTTGGTTACAGAGTAATATGTTTATATTTTCAAATGCATGATAAACCTTTCTTTCCATACATTGTAATGTATTGTTATAAAACCCGTCTTATTATATTACTGAAATTCGATAAAAAATGTTCTAAAAGCATATTTTGCCATTACTTTCGCCAACATTCTGAAATCGAGTCAACTGATTTAACCACAAATCTACAAAAGGTCTGAAATGGGACAACATAATTATAATCAAACAAGGCTATTGTTTTCGGTCTACGTTTAACTGAATTCTTTTGGAAAAAATAGGCTCTTGACACTATAAGTCATCTACTCTTATTTAGTTCTTCCCACTTTATATTGGAGACCTACTGCAAGCGTCTGAAGAGCCTCAACATTCTGGTATTTCGAATTACCTTTTGCATCTGTCACCGCTAAAAGTCGTATCCAAACACCGGTTAAATGCCGATCCAAGACATTTCACAACCGTATTCTCCAATAATGGGGCACATTCGTATTCTCAAAAATTCAAAGATGTATCATATTTGGACAGAGCAGGCTAAATTATTTGAAATATTCATGACTAATTCGTAGATCTAGCTATATATTATACATAAGATGTGTCATTCTCTTCGGAGTTGCGTTGTGTTACACAAAAACTGATCAAAGATGCTGGACACTAGGATTTTACGGCTTCAATCTAATATTAATACGTTTTCTCTTGATTAAGGCCCCTTGTGATATGCCTGGCATTATAAGTATACCAAGTATCATTCATTGACCAAGTAGGATAAAAAGAAAACGTTCGAAAGTGTTCATAAAAAGCAAGTACTCGCCTCGTCTGTTTATAGGAACAGAAAAACGGTCACACCCGTAAGCTTAGAACCGGTCATACTCAATATACGCAGATACTCTAGTAACCCGTGCACACGTGAAAGTACAACTTATAACGTATACTTATACTTCACGGTGTCCAACCCAAACGCTCTTACATGCACGCCGGAGCGTTTCATTACAAAGAAACGCTCCGGAGTAGGAAAAATGGCGGGCAGGAATGATGGGCCGCCTGACGATTATAATGGGAATAAGAGGTATGTGTGACTTATTTCGAGTATACCATTCGATGGGTGTGATATTCATGTTGTACTTGGCTGGTTGTTGACGTTTGACGCAACTTGGAAGTGCTGTATGAGGATAGTTATCAAAATTCATAAACATATTTGTCATTCTACCGATCAAAACCACTTTTGTCGAGACATGTGGTTAGTTGTGTAAAGATCAGAGCATCAGAGTATATTTTGGTCAATGTACAAAGTTTCAACGTACCATACTTTATCGTAATTGTGATTTGATGACCGGAAATCCAATCTTAAAAATGATAACAATCTCATATTAAAGAAACGCTCCGACCTGGTTAATACAGTGAACTGGAAACGCTCCGGTACTAGTCTAGATATGTTTAGGCATTTAGGAATTAGCTTGAATTTCCTTTTCAGGAAGAGAAAGAAAAGATCTATTATATCCCTTGGCATCAAAAGAAGAAAGATTAATTCACATATAAACGTTTTGTTTCTTTGTCAATAGTTTTAGCACACATGTAGGCATAGCATCTGATGCCTACGGTAGGCTTCAGTCGGCTAGTAATTGCATGTGTAGTACTAGCACCACCAGCTTGGGAAGTTTCAATTTGTCTAACGAGTACAAAACGTATTTAGAGATAGATTCGATTTCGAACTCTTCTCTAATGATCTGAAAATAATATCAAAACAAAATGGCTAGAGCGTTTCTAAAATTGTGTCCAAAATCGACGGAGCGTTTCGAGGAAAACAAGTGATTTTTCGAGAACAAGTAATGGATTTGGACTGGAATTTTAGCAAATGAGAATATACGAGTTTGTGATCAACTACTTTGACACAAAGATTGACGTTTTCATTTAAATACTAATTTAATTCGTAATTTGTGGTCACTTCGTCAACTTCAGATTCGTTCGATCTGCACAACGGAGCTTTGATCAAGCAAATAACAGTTTACCACCAGAAGGTGAATAAATAACATCTTTGCTCGGGGTATTGTTCATCGAATGGTACATAATATGTCACAATAACGTATGATATGTAGGAGAAACGAGTGAAACAATACTTACGGTCATAGTGGGATCTTCAAAAGCCGCCATTTTATTTCGCTGC